GATTCTTATAAATGGGTTATAGCTAATAAACCTTGCTGGATAATTTCTGTATGGTCTCCTGGATTTCCTTGGGCTAGGCCTGACAGGCACCCAGAAAGAGACCATGAGGGAGGGGACCGCCTAACAATACAAGGAGCACAACTGCTGCTGAGGGAACTCATGGAATCCTCCCCTTGGGAGGGGGCAAGGGGTGGGTATCCTGAGGGATCCCCAGTACGCTGGAGTAAGCTGCAGAAAAGCCTCGACTTCCAACCTGAAGTTGGAGGCAACTGGTGTGGGAGGTGTACACTTCCGTGCGGGGCATCCCAGTGGTCTTAGCTCCACTTGTGGGCCTTTCGCGCCTTACTGGTTCAGGACAGGAGTGTAGGCAGCTCCGTCTTCATCAATGATGGTGATCATCAGGGTAATGAGCTGGGTCCAGAAATCCAGGTTCTTAATCGTTGGACCCTGTTCTTCCCGAGGAGTATCTTGCTTTTTACCCTGTTGGCCAAAAAGAGGGAAATGCTGCATTTGAGCTTTTCAGTTCCACTTAGCAAAAGCCCTGCAGAAAAGACTTTTCCAGGACCACTACTCTTGGCAACTCCTTCTCTACCTCACGGCACCCCAGAAGAACATCTCTTGAAGGGTCTCTGCATAACCCCTTTGGGTTTGCTCAGACACTTCCTCTCTTTAGGCAGAGTTCTCATCTTAGGAGAGGAAGTCACTCAGTGGGCCTCTATGCTTGTTACAGCTGCTGCTATTGGTTGGTTCTGTGCCATCAAGTCCACGTTGCCTCTGAGCACCCACATCAATAGACTCTCTCCAGGATGATCTGTCTCCAGCCTGGCTCTTCAGGTTGTCCAATGGTGTACCCGCTGCTGCGATAACCAAGTCCATCTACCTTGCTTCTTCCTTCCACCTTTCCCAACACTTCTCAAGGGACCTGGGCCTTCACATAATGGGCCCGAAATGTGATAATCGGAGCCTGGTCATTTATGCGGCTGTTCAACCTACAGTCACCCAGAGTCACTTGTTTTGTGAGATGGGCGGCTATATAAAATTGACAAACAGCCCCTTCCAAATGGGCAAAATCTGCTGAGGAGCTACAAGTTTCTAGGACCTGCTTGCCCTCAGCCATCTTATTCCCCTGTCCAAGGCTGAGAGGAACTGTAGGTAACTGAGGAGGGAGGGGCACCGCAGCTGCTCCTTAGGGGCAGAGGGATGCCAGGCTCCCATTCCTCCATGAATCTGTCTCTCCAGCTCTCAGAGAAGAGGCTCTATGACCCCTTCTCCACTCGTAGCTTAGACTGTCGCCCATCCATTGCTTGTGTGATGGGAACAGTGAGGAGGAGGGCCACATGTTGCCTCAACTATGGCTGGGTGATGTCAGCAGGGAAAGTGCTCAGTAAAGAATGATGTGGTGTGTGGAAAGTCCTTCTTAGATGCCCCTGCAATCTTCCGCCACGCAGCTGAATTGGCAGATCCCACTGCTAGGTAAGGAGAAGAAAAATACCTTCTTTCTCCTTCTCCTTCTCCTCCTCCTCTCGTGCCCAATTGCATGCACTCTAGCATGATCTTCTCTGCTTGACTGACTCCTTTTCTAAACAGAGAAGGCCCCAATGCTGCAGTCTTTCTTCTCTGTTCCAAGAACACTGGGCTTATCTTTTTCTGATCCTGCGCCAGACCCACAGTAGCCTGAGACAACTGATATGGAGTCACTGCAGTGCAAGCTGGTCCTCCATCAAACCCCTTTTCATAAAAACCCCTTTTCACTAACCCCTCACTGAGCTGTCTCCCCACAGTCCAAGATTTCTTTCCTTGACAGTCCTGCAATTCCACATCCCATGGGTGTTTGCATCATGACTGTACGCATCTCTTTTTGCTCTAGACACACCAACAAATCTGGTGATTATCTGGATATGCCATGCACAGAAGACATCTTTCCAAGCACAGAACTTAGCCATGTGAACCAGAGAGTTCCCTCCTGCCCAAATGCAGACCTGCTCTGTAATGCTGTTTTCATTTCAACATTCACAAGGCAAATGAGCCAAATAGATCCTTGTAAACAGAAGCAGACTGGAAAGGGAACGACACCTCCAAATGTCACTGAGAGATTAAACGAAGAGAAAAATTATGGCTCTAAAGGCCAGGCCAGGCCAGACCAGGCATCTTGGATGTGATAGGGGGTTTCAGTTTTTTGCATCAATGACTAAGTTCTTGTTTGCCATCAAAAGCAGGCTGTTGCAATGACAGCTCCCTTCATCCCAGATTAGCTTGGGAAACAGTGCCTCCCAGTTGCCCCCCCACACGTATTACAGCTGTCACCGTGGCTGCTGCCCCCAAGAAGCCTGGCAGAGGATTATGATAAACACAGTCCTCTGCCACTGGTTAAGTGGGAAGCATTACCATCCTTGTACAGAGCCTTGCTTTGAAAAATGAGAGGTTCCAATTACAGATTACACCTGAATGGCCACCAACCCAACATACATGTTTATTCCTTTCCCTGCTCTAAGAGTGGCCAGTGATATTTTCAAGGGGAGGCTCCTTTAACTGATTACATTTCACGGCTTGCCATCCAGTCCCCTGTCTTTATCTCTTCATTTAGGGAAATGGCATGGATGGAATATCACCAATCTTTATGTTTAAAGGAATGATTTCAGCACCCAGCTGGCTGGAATGACCAAGGAAGCAGTTGTGGATTAGAGCTTGGTGAGGGCCCCCAAGCAGATCAGGGGTCTGCTTGAGCAGTGCCCAGCCAAAGGCTTCCTGAAGTCTACAAGCAGCAGGTTGAACCAAGAGATCCGGGTGACTATCCATGTCAACCTTTTGAGGTAGGCCAAGTCAACAAATAGGCCCAGCAGAGATTCCAGGAGGCTCTTTATTGTAGTGAAGCAGCAGAACAGAATCTTGAAAGCCTGTTCAAGTTGCTCTGTCCCATCTTATACTCAAGAAAATCAGGAGTTCTGTTGAGTTTCTTCCTCTTGCTGCCTTCTCCCAGTATCCCTCTCACTTTCCCCAAGGCTGGCTCTAAGTTCCCTTAGAGTCCTTGGCACTTGGTATTTAGAGGTAGGCTGCCACTGGATGTGGAGGCTCCATTTAACTGCTGTTGCTAACCACAGCAGTCATGATGGGGATACGATCTTTCTTTCTGCATCGATTCAGGACCAACTTGCGGCAACTCCAGTTACACAGTCACAGCTAGCAAGTGTTTACCTATGGTCTGGGTCAGTGGGAGACCCTGACTGGCCATCTGCTTTGAGCCAGGGACCAACACAGCCCCCTCCCCCAACCTCAGAGGCAGCCAACTTTATTCTGCTCAGAATTGTCCCTACCAAGCATCCTCTGCTGCCTTTGTATGTGCTTTTCTCGGGGCAGGGTGGGGGGGGGGCACATTAGAGTGCAACAGATTGAACAGGGCCTTTGGGGCAACCTAATACTGGCCCCCTCCTGGGTCTTCCAGTATGGATGATGCCTGCCCCATTTAGTGGTGGATCTACTCTTCTTAGTGGTCTTTAAAGCTGGACAGGACTCAACCTGCCTCAAAGTGGGCCTGAGGACCCTTGGGGAGAGTAAGCGAGGAGAAGGCACTCACCTGGTCCATTAACCCAGCATACAGATCGTAGCAGTTGTCGAAAATATATCTGTACGTGGAATTCAAGCAGGCCCGGACGCAGTCTTTCACGACGGCGCTGGCTCGAGGGGGGCTCTGCAGCTCTAGAACCTGAACAGGATGACCCAGAACTGACCTTCAGGCTTCTCCGCCGTTAGCAGCCCTGACGGCTCAACAGTCCCACATTTTATTAGCTTACACGATGGAAGAGGCATCCAGCAGGAAGGAAATGATTTCCTTCCTCTCCGCTGGCTTCATTGAAAGTTTAAGGTCCGTATGAAAAATAAAGATTCTGGAAATATCCTGGACTTAGATTCTGGTATGTAAGCATCTGGGAGGGAGCTGAACTTACTTTTAGGCGAAAAAATGCAATGCTTGTCAGCAGATCCACAGTTGATTTCAGGTCCTGAAGCCTCTCTGGACTGCTGGCAGGAAAATTTTCCTGTAGGTGAGCGGAACGGACAAATGCTAAAACCTCCACAGCAGGCAGACGACCATGGGCCCATGCAGACAGAGCCCTTTGGCTGGGCAGAGAAGCCTGGCTTATCCACCCGCAGTCCAACACAGAAATCAGACAGGGTGGAAGAGCCGCCCCCAGGCTCTGTGTGCACTTCTGGAGAGAAATAGGCAGGGAAACGCCATCCCAATCCCGTGCCCCCATTACAGTTCCCGTCCTCCTCAGCCGGCACGGCTCATCAGCTGCCTTAGTCCAAACCTGCAAATTTCCCATGAGAAGGGGCTAAGCTTCCTTGGCTCTTTCCAGCGCCCCCATATTGCCTTCACACATGAGCTGAGCCAAACTTTCCCCCAAAGCACCTTTCTCTCCACAACCTACTTTCTGCTTTATTCCTGGACAGAGGGAAATTAAGAGCTAAGAGTTCAGCATCCTTTCAGATGCCAAACAGAGAAACTGGCACTTTAGAGCAGCTGCAGAGCTGAAGGACTGCCGACAACGCAATCTGGCCCACCAGCTACTCCATCACGGGGCAACCCTCGGTCTGAGTTTGGCTGCGATCAAAAGGGCTGGTTCTCCAGCTGGCGGCCTTTGATGCAAAAGCATCCATGTGCTTTGGAAGAAGGAAAGCATACATACCCTGTATTTAGAGAGATCGATCCTCAATGAATTGTGCAACTGATCCAGCAATCTGATGAACTTTTCTCTCTGCGTGGAAAACACACAGAGCCGTCAGGACCAACTGAAGAGGTGGCTACAGTGGCGGCCCACTGACTGGGAGCCCACAGGCTCCCTCTGTGGCTGCGCCCAGGAATGATCAGCCCGGGAAACCACAGAGGGGACCACCTGCCCCAATTCCATGGAGAAGTGCCATCTTCCTTGCTATGCCAGCCTCTTTTGTAGAAGCTAGTTGGCTGGCTGTGGTTGCTTAAGATGGTGGTTGGAGAAACAAAATCCCAGGTCAGTTGCCAAGGCCTGAAGCAACAGGTGGGCCTCCAAGGAAGCTCAGATGGACGCACCATATTTTCCCTGTACAACAGCCAGACTGAGGCAACTATTTCCTAAAGCCACAGCTGCCTTCATGCTTTGGTTAAAGGGCTGTCCTTTAGTGAGAAAGTGCCTGTTTAGCACACCGCATGCCCCTGCTGCAATGCTAGGGAAGGCAAAAAGCCAAGGGAAAGGATTCCAGACCAGGGATCTCCACAAGGGGACGGTCTATGGAAGCGCCTATGGAAGCACAACGAGCAGGGTTCCATCTGGCAGCCCTGGGCAGGCAGAGCAATGGAGCCAAAGGAGCAACCGTTCTACTCTTTCAGGCCTATGACATCACTTGCTTGTTCCCTTGTGGTCTTGGGTAGCCAACCAGAAAGAAGAGCCCCACGTGAGCTGCACCACCTCAAGCAATGGATCAAGGGCTGAAACCCAGCCTTCGAGGTGGTTGGCATCCAGGGGCTGTCAACTATCTCTGGGATAAAGGGGGCTGTTCCTTGGTCACCTGTTGACCCACAAAGAAGGAAGAATGTTTCTTCAAGAAGCAGCTTCCCTTCAATGCCTTCAAGAAGCTTCTGCATCAGCTTCAAGAGTTAATTTCTGTCCTTAACACACTGAGATCTGGAGGTTGTATTTTCACAGATGTGCCATGACATCATGATTCTTAGGCAATCTCTGCTCTTATGCTAAAAACTTTTTCTTTAGCAAGAGACAAATTGTAACAGGAAGGGTGTGAATCTGGCGGTATCTGACTTGAAACTTTTTCTGATTTGGACTGGTGATCCAATTTGATAATCAAGCCAATTCGAGTGGGATGACATTAAAGCCATTTCTGTACATCTCCCAAGAGATCCATTTGGTTTGATTTGGGAAGACAAATCATCTTTGGATCAAATCTCTAAAATTGGTATTTGCTACCCCTTTATATTCATGCATCCTACTCACTGCAGTCAGCAAGGCTAATAACAGTTTTGTATGTATACATTTCTTTAGAAACAGTAAGAATTATCAAGGTTTATCTCCTGAGTCTAACCTAGTGCCATTATTGCTTCTCCATGACCCAAAGCTGTTTACTGATTCACTGGACTCTACTGGTTGATCAAGTGGTTGATTAGTCGCAGAACTAGCAAGCATTCCCATTTCCACCCCTCTCCCAATCTCCCCTAGATAGGTTGGAATAAGGAGAAAGATGCCCTTCTCGATGCATATACAGATCAGAGTCCGGTGACTGTCAAAGGATGGGGCAAGAGTCAGAGATAAAATGTCTCAGGCAGGGCCCAGCACCCCAAAAGCCATACCTTTCTTTAACACTTCTTACTCCAAGGGGTATCTTTCTCACTGTCTCACACAATTCCCTCATCTTGCTGGAAAGACAGGCTTCTGTGACATTCAGCAGGGGCAGCAGGAACAGAATGCCACATTGCAAAATGAGATGATACTTTCTAAAATACATAAATAGCTCTAAAGGAAAAGGATGTGTCCCTCAAAGAAACAATGCATAAAACTATGGCTTCATCATAACACTTCCACAAGGCACTGGAAGGAACATTCTCAAGACCAGGGGAAGCTCTTTCAGAAAACAGGATTGAATCTTTTGGGGCTAACGGAATTGATCCTAATAAAAGGATGTATTTTGATGGATTTGGGTGCTTCCCACGGATTGCTTTCTATAGTTTTTCATTCATGTTAGAGCCTGGGAGAAAGAAGAAACTTTCCTGTGTTCATAAATTGGAATAGTGACTGTGAGGAGCAGCAGAAGAAAACCACACTTACCCCAAAGTTGGTGGCAGCAAATCGATCGGAAGCAGACACACTGGTGGTGGCTGTGGTGTGAGCATAGAAAGCATTGATGTTGGCTAGCAAAGTGCTCATAACAGCTGGAACACCAGGGCACATGTATTTGGAAGACAGGCAAGAGAAGTGCCTGAAAGACAAACCAAGGAGGTGGCTGCTATCCAGAGATGCCAGGTACCTCTTGGCAGCAAGACCAAAGGGCTTGAGTGTCCTGGGCCTGCAGGAGCACGGCTCTCTACTTGGAGTGGTTTGGCTTTGCTTCCACTCCTCACTCTTGAAAGTTCTCCCCTTCAGGGAGAGGCAGAACAGACCTCACAGGGGTTTGCATCAAGAGTCAATACCCACAGAAGCCGGCTTACTCTCTGAATAGAACCTTGCCAGAGGGTCTTCCTTGAGCAGGGGGAGCAGCAGCGCAGCTCCTGAGGTGGGTGGGTCCAATGCTGGGTCCCATGTTGGGCTCAGCCCATATTACCCAGATCAGCAGGTCTGCCTACAGACTGCCTTTCCGCCACGGAGCACCCCCAGATAAATCAATGCCTCAGTTCACAAGCACAACGGCAGCAAGGATGCGTCTCTCTTTCTCGTCTCTGGAACGAAGGCTCTGAAGGCTGGCCTGGCACCAGCATTCAAAGACTGAACCGTAACAAAGGTTTCCTTTGGGCAACTGAATTCTGTTTTCAGCAGTCAGCAAATGCCTTTGGTGCAAGGCACTGATTAGGAGGGGGCTTGGCTACACTGTAGAAATTAATTAGTACACAAGTATAACATGTTTAAAACGATAAAGCCTTTACAGAGAGCTTTACCTTTTTCCTTGGGCACAGCTAAAAGGGCTTCCTTCAGAACCTGGGCTTCAACATTGAAATAAAATTAATTTGGTGTGTCAAACCAATTTCTCAGAAGGGAGCCACACCTCTTTGCCTTGCTGGTCTCTCTGAAATTCCAACGAGGGCTGTACATTGGCATCATTAATACCTACGTATTTAGAACCGCCAAGAAACCTTCATTTCCATTTCATCTTCACAGAAAAGATGATGGTGATCTGGAATTTCAATGCTGCCTTGTCTACTTTTGAATTTGAACAGCCACATTAATTACACAAAAGTACAGAGAGCTCTGTAAATGAGCCGGAGGAGAGAGTTCTTACTCAGGCTTGATAACTTTGGACAGTGTATGTGAAAGAGCAGGACGTTACTCCACTAGAGGGTTCTTCAGGCGTGGAAGGGTTAGTAGACCCTTCCCTCCCTCTCTGGACATCTCCCTGCCAGGTGGATGTTCTCAGCACAAACTCTCCTGATTTCCCTGGCTGCCAACATTATGGCCTTGCCACAGTGAGCAGTGAGCAAGGCTAGCTATTCCTAAAGACTCGACCAGCAAGGTCCAATCCGCTCAGGCACCTTCACACTTTGAACGCTGCCTAGTGCCCTGGCTTTGATAGCATTGTCCTCAGCGCTGGGGCCAATGGGGATCTCGGATCCTGAAGAAAGGATGCCGAACAGTTTGACCTAAAGGGATCAAGTGCGTATAGTTGAGGATGATGGGAGAGAGAGAAATCTACATCGTGTTCCATGTGATTGGGCAGTCAATGCGCTCTTCTGCTGGGGGCTTCCAAACTGAGATCTGCTCAGCCACTGGCAGGTACGTAAGGCAGGCTGAAATAGCTGCTCTCACTAAAGAGAAGCCTTTGAAGAAACCTGGGGACAAACTGTTCTGCCAGCCTCCGCCCAATCCACTAGCCCACCAACTGAAGATGAGATGCTACTTGCATCATTGCTTGGTAGATGTTTTCAATTCCATAGCGCATTGCAAATTCATCAACAATCTCTTGTGCAGCGTCATCAAAGTAGACCTTCCAGGCATCATCTCCTTTGACTGCCGGGATCTGCACAGCTCCACTTGCTTTCACCTCAGTCAAGTAGTGGAAGAGGTTCTGAAGGAAACACATTTTTCATTTCAACTGAAAATCTCAACTTTCGGCTACTATCAGAGAAGATGGAATTACATTAGGATTAAGTTTTCATTGACTCCTTCTTTTGTTTGTTCAGCTACAAGCGTGACAGGCACCCTTGATCCTTACCCTTGGCACAAGACGCTCAGGGGAAAAGCATCCTGGGTTCCCAGCCATTCTTGAGGTACCCACCCCATGGTGGGGGTAGCAGGGCAACCCCAGGACAAGCGGGCAGCCAAGAATGTCAATGTGCTGCTTTGGTGCATTCTTCACAGGGCCCTCCTTTAACAAAAGGAAGCTTCCTCTCTTCATGTTTAGCCCTTCTGCTGGCCTTGGGCTTTGCTGGGTGCTGCAGACGAGATATTAAGCCAGTTCCTTAAGTGGGGGAGGGAAGGTTTGGACCCCTTGGCTCAGCCTCAGGAATGGCTGTGCTGCCTTCAGCTGTTTTCTACCCCCACAGCTCCCCCAACTAGTGGGATGTTGCTTTCTCCAGAACCTGCTTCCCCCCTGCCTCTCCAGCATCTATAATCCACGGAAGGGTGATCCTGCCTCCTTTCTGCCAGCTACCTCTTCCCAGACTCAGGGAAACCCTCATCAACCTCGGAACGTTACTGCAAGCGTACCTCTGTGGTGATGTGCTGAAGGGAAAGCCACGTCCACCACATACCTCGTGTAAACAGGTGTACTGCATGTGATATGGTGCAACCTTCTCCTCCCCTTTTATTTCAACATTGAGTTTCAAGCGAATAGCCCCAGAAACGGCAGATTTATCAGTGCGCTTATCTAGCAAACAAGAGGAAAAGGAATATGTTGGCTGTCATGAAGAACAGCTTGCTACAGCAGAGAGGGGCATTGCTGCCATTCATTCCATTGAAGGAAGACTCTTGCCATGTGTAAGGAGAGCCACAGATTCTGCTCATCAGGCTGCAGAACCTCTACAACAGGCCCACAGAAGCAAGTGTGCACTGGCTTCATCTGGGACGTAAGAGGAAGCGCTGCTTGACTCAAGAAGCTGCAAGCTGCATTCTGCAGCAAGGGATGGGGGCACCTGCTTCTCGAGAAGGTCCCTGGCCAATAGGAAGGGAAGAAACAAAGAAGGTGCCCTGAGGCAACTTCCAGGGTCTGGGGTCAGGGGAAAGCTAGGCTCTCTAGGGAAAAGGGTCTGCTCAGAGGTTGTGGATGCTGTGGGAAAAGGGCTGGACTCCCTCCTGCTCCTTTCAGAGACAGGAGTCACCTACCCAGGTTGTACCAGACATCCATTTCCCCACTCAGAGTTCTCACATCGATGATAGTTTGTCCCAAAAAATCGTCCGATTCTTTTTTGAAATGCTGCTTCACTCGTGACTTGATATCATCATCTTCATCCCAAACTCTGACCTTTATTCTGTCTGTGGAATTGTGGCATTCACTGCAAAGGAAAGGCAGGGAAGGGCTCAGGGGCTGGCAAAGATGCAGCTCCCACCTGGGTCCCATTTCTTTGTGTTTGTTAAGGAGTCCCCACAGACAGCTAGCACAATGGTAAACCCAGGCTAAGGAAACACCAACAAGGGCCAGGACAGGAGCTGGGTTTCCGCAACTCACTGGACCACCAGTCCCCCAGCTCCATTTCTGCTGGGACCAGGACCCTGTGCATGCCCAGCCAAAAAGTCACACCTCTGCAGGAAGAGGCCTGGCCAGGTAACTCTTCGAGACGAAGCTTTCCAGACACTTGTCCCATCTCACAATGCAAGGGGTCAAAGGCCCATCCTGCTCTGGGCATGACAGGCAACTACTGCATTTGGAGGCTTCTGGGATGCAGGGAGATTTGTGGGAGACACGGCTGGAGAAAACCAGAGCCACCTGATCAGGTTTGGGAAGGGCATGGCTGGAAGCCCAAAGAGTGGGTGTCGGCTGGGCTGACAGAAAGCAGCAACCTCCATAGTTAAAGCACCCCAACCCCTGAGCCAGAAAGTTTCCTTGCACTTTCTGACTCAGCATCTGGATGACTGTAGCAGCAAGTCCAGAGGAGCTAACTGGAATGAAATACAAATGTGTTTTGGGTTTAGCTCTTGATCTATTATAGGGAAGGATTTGCCTGGGCTTATTTGTGGAAAGTAATATATGTCCTGTCTCACCAAAAACATACACAAAGCAAATCTAGGTCACTGCATAAATAACCCTGTTGCGGTGGTTCTTTCCAGCCAGCTATCATTAATTAGGCCTCTGATTTTCCAACCACCACACGTCTTCTTTAGCCCCGGGCATGGCTCTCCAGATGACAAGGAGGTGGAATTTTCAAGGCCTAGGCCTGAAAAGGAGAAATCCAAACAGCTGACACCGACACCACCACCACCACCCCAATCCTGGGGACCCTCTGCTGCCTTGGACCCTCATTTGACCCTGGGTTCAAATGCTGGCCTGGACACCAGCCCCATTGAAGTATTGGAAGAGCAGAGTCCTTGATGATAGACCCAGCTGACCAGTCCTGGATTCTCTTGTACCGGGGGCTCTTTGTGCTGCACCTGTCTCACGGATGCTACCCAAGGGCCAAGCCCCTAAATGAAATTATCCCTCAGAGTGCTGGTGCTGCTGCTTCTTCCCCAAGGATCAGCAGCAGTTTTGCACAATCAATCGTTCCTCATGATGAATAATTGAAGAAGAAAAGGCTGCATTTCTACAGTACAGCCAAACTTCTTTGCTGGGGAGGGGACTCTCGCTGTGCTAAGCACACCAGACAACGTCCCTACTGCTGGGCTTCACTGTTTTAATTCAAGGCTTGAACAGCAACAGAATTCATTTGCCAATTTTTAGAAAACAATGCAGGGGGCAGGGGGGAGGCTCCACTCTCATTCTGAAAGAAGCATCCTGCTCATTTGAGACCCCCCCGGTTCAGTCTCGTCTGTTAGAATCTTGGCCCAACGGTCCAAGATGCCTCCCCACGTGGCCCAGGACCCCAAAGAAACAGCTGCTAAAATCAGCCACCAAAATCTTCTGAGATACCCAGTTTGCTGCAAGTCTGGTGAGGGCCCTGCAGTCCCAAGATAAGCTTCGGTCTCTCCAGCTTGCTGACTAGAACAATTAGAAGTTTCTGCTCCTTTCTTGTTTTGACTAGAGGGTACCTCTCCTGGCTCCCAACCATCCAAAATCCAGGATATGCCCACCACCTCAGATGGTCCATGAGACTTAAGCTTTGTTTGGAGACTGCACTGGAGGTAAGATTGACTCTGGATCTTTTTGGAAAAGAAGCATTTCCTTCCATTCACAATGTGCGATCAACACTAGATCCCTCCAGTCTTGAGAATCTCAGCTTTTAAACCCTTCCACTTGCCTGTGTTTATTTCAGCTCTACCTGAGTGATCCATTCACCCAGCTAGTCTGCTTTTCATTCCTGGCATTACATGTCAATATCCCATGCAACGGACTGAGCTGGATTCAATTCTGCTGCATGCAAAGGCGGTGTGCTGCTCTGAAACCTCAGCCTTCCCACCCCCCTCGTTCCCGAGCAAGGAACTATTGGGCTCGACCTGCCCTTCATTTCCTCAAGACCTTCTCTGCCTCTTTTCCCCACCCCCACCATCATCACCCGCTCTGTGGCACAGACCTGCCAGCCCTGGATTATGAGCACACGCAGCCCTTTGGAAAGGAAGTAGTTTTGGTTTTCAGAGTTTCTTACCGATTCGTAGGGTATGGAAATAACATCACTTCACAGACTCCACATCTGTTTACCTTTAGTGGTCTATTTCATTGAACATACTTTACGGTTATGGCCCTGCCTGCAGCCTCTCACGCATCTCCCATCTATCACTAAGCCGATTACGACTGAGGGGAGCAGCAGTCCAAATGGACGCACAAGGGAGCATGAATGCCCAGCAAAGCATCTGCAGCTTATTCCTGCCTAAGCAGCACTTATTAAAGTGCAGTGAGATCTCCCTTTTGAATGGGGTTTTGGCTACCCCTGCTTGAGGATTTCACAGCCAGGCCAACAGGAATTGGACACGAAGGCAAGGGAGCCAGTGGCTTTGAGGGGGTTCTTCATCTGATGCGCTTGGGCTTAAGCTCTGTACTCTTCGGGAGCTTGAGCACTGTGCGCAGCCTGAGAAGGAGCAAAGGGATACCTGAGACCTTTCAGATCTGTCACAGCCAGCACTACTCCGGTTTCTTACTGGACTCCAGGATTCCTTTGGCTGCCCTGCATCCACCATTGCCTTATTCCACACACATACACACCCCACACCAGGAGCTTCTTAGTGGGAATTCTGGAAGGGTCAAAGATCTTTAAGAAACCTAACATAAGAGAGCTTGACCTGTTTGGACATTTCTATGCCATGGGAATGGAGACCATTTCCCTCCCATTTCAACACCCCTCCCCCACACTTTATTTATGGAGACCCCTCCCTAAAAAACATCGAACCTGGCTTTGCAGAGCTCCATAATCTAGAATGCCTTCTGGCTGCCCCTGTCTAGGAAGAAGCAGCACCAGCTGTCCACTGTATTTAGAGAAGGCAAAGAAGTGAGCTCTGGGGGGCCACCAATTGTCCTCAAGTTGCAGTGAGAAGCAGGTGCAAATTGCCCATGGAGATCTTGCTACTGAGAGACTGGAATCCCACCAATCCCATCATTTGCAAAGATGTGGACAACTTAGATTCTCTTCCAAAACATGCCTCCACCTCTAAATGCCACCTCCTTTAAGATGTTAGGGTCTCCAAGGCATCAACATCTGCTTATGTTGACAGCTGGAAGAGATCTGAAGCAGCAGTTCCCAGAGTTTAAAAACAGGTCTGCCTCCACCATGAATGAAGAGGAGACCAATCAATAAACAGAGCACACCAAGGAGGTTTCTGAATGCATTCTCTCTAACTTTATCCTTAGCTGGACTTGGAACAGGAGAGAATCAGCATCTTTACTTGGACACTTCTCTTGCTGATAACATTTGCCTTTTCTACCAAGCCAGAACTCCCTGACTGTATGAGTGTCAGCCAGTAGAGCAGACTGCCACGTGAAGTGATGACTTCTCTCTTGAGATCTTCAAACATAGAGCAGATGGTCATCTGTTAGAGATGCTCTTGTGGTTCCTGCACTGAGGAGGGGGTTAGCTGGATTACCTCTAAAATCCCTTCCAACTCCATGATTCTATGGGTTGCATATTCAGACATGGATGCTATTAGATTATAAAAGAAAGGATGAAATGGGAATGGAGGGAAGGATCAACTATGTAAAAAGCTAGATTGACAGAATGTTTTTCCAATACAATAGCCACTTTTCTCTTTCAAAGCAAACATGGGATTATTTGAAGACCAAGCAGGATCAAAGAAACAATTTGCATAATGTAAAATAAATCCATACTTGTAATCAGAAAGCTGTACACTCTAAATCCTTGGCCATTTATTTTAATCTCTTAGATCATGAATAGATTGAGAGATACTACAGTTGAATGACATCACTCTTCCACATTTAAAGCCTACAATAGTAGCAGAAATAATTGTTTTAGAGCCAGCATCTTTTCTCCCACAGCAGCCAGAACTGGTAGAAGTCTCCCTTGTTTCACCATGACACAAAAGGAGTTCTTGCTGACTTACTGAGAGTCTGGCTTTAAACACTGCACATTCAAGCTGCAGAGGCCAAGCCACTGACTTTCCTGCAGTCAACAGATTGCCCCAAGGAACACAAGTGCCCACAGATGCTCTGTTTCATCATTTCTGTGTTCCTCCGCAGGAAACTGCCAGACTGGCAAAAATCTTCTGGGATCTTCTGTCCCACCACACTGTGGTGACAAAACACAGGCTAATAGGTGGCACAAATCATCTGTCACAATTGCCGGGGCTCAGGCAGAGCTACAAAGGGCAGAGGGCTCAACAGCACTTTTCAGCAGATTTGGAAGGGAGGAAACAATTCCCACCCTCTCTACAACTACATTCTCAAGAGAGAAGTTAGGTGGAAATGGCCACCTTTGGCTGATTTTCATGATTCTCTTTTGAACGGATTCAAGGAATCCTCATTCAGAATTCTCCAAAAGCCAGTACTAACACCTGCAACCTAGTTCCTTTCAACAGTGGGCAATCTTTGAGGTGATTCTCATATGCCTGGGAGGCCACCAGTAAGCCCTAAGCCACCAGTAAGCCCTAAGGACTCTTTCTTCTTTGGCTTCAGGAAAAAATGAGACAAATGCTGTGTGTGTGTGTGTGCGTGCAGGCAGGCAGGCAGGCAGGCAGGCAGGCAGGCAGGCAGGCAGGCAACAGCTAGCTCTAGATGACATGTGTGCATGACATTGCTTAAAGCCAAATTCAGAGAGCTGAAGTTTTCTTTCTGCTCTAGATGACATGTGTGCATGACATTGCTTAAAGCCAAATTCAGAGAGCTGAAGTTTTCTTTCTGCTCTAGATGACATGTGTGCATGACATTGCTTAAAGCCAAATTCAGAGAGCTGAAGTT